GCCGCCCCCGCCACCCGCCTCCCTGCCCGCCGCTCGCTGTTCTGCGTGCTCCTTGAGCTGGCCAAGGGGGAGCCGTTGACAGGCGTAAGGGCTCCAGTGACAAGCCTGTGCATCTCTCAGCACCCGTGAAGCTATCATTCTGCCTCCTGGTTTCTTACTGGCACTACTCCCTCCCTCATCTTTTGCTTTAGACTAAACATTTCAGGCCTCCTTGAAACTTGTGCATAGCCTGAAACTTTCGAAGGGGTCGTGTTCCTGTACATTTTCCTTAGTGCTCCTGGTGGCTTTTGCTGCTCTCAGGAAGGAGGAGCTCCTAAAACACTCACACATCCTGGCCCGGGAGGCTGGCCTTTGTGTGCATGCCTTGAATATCTTCCCACCTTCCCCTCTCCATGTTGAGAAGGAGAAACCTGGCCACTTGAGCATTATACTTCATGAGCAATGCTGCAAGTGTCATTCCCCCCGAGAGACCCCAAATGATGTGTCTGCACCGAAAGATTGTGCAGTCTGGCAGACCTGCTTGCCAGGTCACTTATGGAGACCTCAGGAGATCATGGATGCTGTCTGAGTTGTGGAAGAACTGTAGTGTGTGCTTCTGGCCTGGCTTATACTCAGTCTTGCTCTGAGGCTGGAAGAGCAGCTTTACAAAGAGCAAGATCTTAAAAGTTCTTAAGCTGAAAACGAGAGGGGGCAGAAAAGAAAGGGAAGCTGCCTCCTACTGCCTGATCCTGCTCCATTCCCTTGGGGGAATCTTCTTTGAGGCCTTCCCACTGTCCCCTGGGTTTCCCTTTCCTGTGCTGCAAGTAACAAGTGTCAGGGAGGCACACTTCTGTCTTCCTCATTTTCCCCTCCCTCGTTCCCTGTGCTCTTGCTTACCTAAGAAGAGAAGAGGCTAAGGCAAGAGGAGCAAGTGTTGGAGGAGAAACTGAAGACTCTCAAGTGTAGCGGCTCTCGTGTGCTTAGGAGTGATTGGGACCTTCCAAGCCCACTTTTTAGTGGACATGATCATAGGATCTCTGAGCAGGTGTACTGGCTCAGTCTTGAGCTCTTTGACCTAGCTTCGTTTATCTTAGGAAAAAATAGCTACACAGGGATGCACTTTGTGGCGTGGCAATGTTTACGAAGGTAGAGGTCTATGTTTAGCAGACCTTTGCAGCTGGTGGGAGCAGAGAGGTAAAGTGGAAACTTCAGCAGCCATGGTAATCCTTGCTGGTATCAGTTTTGCACGTTTGCTGTTACAGGACCAGAGCTAGTAGAGGCACGCGTTCTGCGTCTTTTCACCTATGTCCCCCCTTCACATAAAATCCAAAGCAGTAACTCCTAGAACAGCTCGCAAGCTTCTCTTCTCCATCCATTGCTCATCTGTTCTCCATGGAAGTGGCTAATACTCAAGCTGCTCGCCTGTCTTTCCCTCCACTAGTGTAAGCAAGTCTTCTGCTTCTTCCTTAATTCTTTAGGCAACGTTGTGATCGAGAGATAATGATGCCTCTCTATAGGGATTGATATCTCTCAATATTGAGAGTGGTCAATGTCAGTAATCACTGCTGCATGCTGAGAGCACAGCTGGTCTGAGAGTGAAAGCTATAGATGTCTGTTGAGATCGAAATGTCAATGCCTCTCAATAAGAGTTGGAACTGACAGGCATTGATGCCTCTCAATATCGAGAGGTACTGATGCCAATATGTGTCGATGCCTACTGATACCAAAATCAGCCTGAAACCGAAAGTAAACAATTACTGTAAAGAACATTAAAGATCATAAAAGTAAACAAATATAGGTTCAATTTGTTTTTGTGTTTTTCAGCTTTCCTTTTTTCAGCAGGGTATGTAATACACATTCTAGATACCGTTTTTGTAAATACTGCTACATCACCCTGAGGAATAAGTTAGTCAAACTGTTGATAATACAAAATAGCAAGGGATTTTTTGAAGGCAGAAAATGGAAAGAAAAATATCAAAGCAATTATTAGTTGGAAGAATTTAAACTGTAAAGTTTCTTGCATACCAGGAAGACTTGTTGTACTAAGACTTTTGTTCTCAAAACATGTGATTGGCACTTAAGGAACAAAAGTGTTCAGTATAGAACTTAGTAAACTAAATGATCTTATTTTGAGGAAATGAGGTGGAATGAAAGATACTCTTTCCTGCAGAATAGAATCATTTACCAGAGAGAGGTATGAGTTAGATAAATCTGACTTGTAGAAGGACCTTCCTCTCAGTCGAGGTAGGTAGAAATTCAAATTTTAATGCTGTAAACTGAAATTCAAAGGGAATTCTGTGATCGTACACAGATGTAAATACTCCATGTAGCCTATGTATATTTGGGGCAAATTAATCCTGTCCTAAAGGTCAAAAGAAGAGAAGCACAATCATTTTATAGGAAGCTGGTGCAGAGCTGCTTGATGAGCTATTGGCAAATGGGAAATGTCTTTGAGCTAATGCAAGTGAAGTCTATACTCATTCAGCCCTGTGCTATTTTGATGGATTTCAGTCCCTCTCTTTCTAGGAACTCAGAAACCATTCAAGCTGCAGTAATCTCTGTAAATTTTCTTGACTGAGAGGCACATCAGGACAAAAAAAAAAAAAAGATGAACCAAAGTCACATAAGGATGGCTCACTTTGGGACTTACACTTTTCTCACTTTCAGACCTATTCAGTGGGATATATATTCCTAACAAAACAGTCTATTAATTGTCTCTGATTTCAATCAGATGAGGAAAAATCTGCCTCTGCCCTACTTCTGTAAGAGACTGCACATTTTCAGTACAAGTGAGCTGTCAATAACATCCTTTCTTTTGGAGACTGCAGTGCTTGCTGGGATCCTATGCTGCCAAACACACTTTCCTTAGCCCTAAAATAGAATGCCTAGTAGTTAGACATCTGAGTCTGAGTTTGTCACCCAAAGAATACTTTATAGTTAGTGGAGAAGAATTTTGGAATGGCAGTTCGTCTCCTCAGATAAGCACTTTCACAGAGTAGTAAATCTGACCTGTCTCAGCTGTCTATTTTTCTTTGAACTATAAAGTCAGCCCAGGGCTATGAACTTATTTAGAAATCAAAATTTTAGTTGGCCAAAGCTGAACTTCTAAAGGTTATCTTTCTCAAAAACATGTTTCTTTCAGCTCTATTCTTTTTTTTTAAAGTTATCTACTCTATTTTTAAGTTATCTAATGAAGACTTTCAGCTGGTAATTTCAATGTTTTTCTGTTGGAGCTACAGCATCTGAAAATATAAATACAGCTGCCAGCCGGTGCAGTCCTATTTCCAGGCTGCAACAGGCCGAGCTCCACCTGCTGGCTGCATCCTACCCTTGAGCCATCACTAACAGATCCCACACACTCATCTGCCCGCCCCTTTTCAGAATTTGGAAGAACTGAAAAGATTTCTGACAAACTCTAGTACAGAGAAGAAGTGCAGAAATTTAGGATAAAATTATCAGCTGCCTTAGGACTTCATATGATGTGCAAAACTCTACTGAGGTGAGGAATTATCAACATGGTGCTGACAGCATCATAAATACTTTAAAAGGAAAAGATCTGAAAAGTATTTATGGCATATTCTTTTAAACTGGAAGAGGTATTTGTCCTGGTAACTGATAGGGAAATTCTATTTTGACCAATATGAACTCTGAAGAAAAACGATTAAAGAACAGCCTCAGAAAATGTAATCTCCTTCTGCAAGTTACAAAAGCTTGACTACCTTAGGACACAGTAAGATGCAATTGTAATATCCAGAAAACATTCACTAGTAAGTACAGAAGCACATTATAGATTGCATTTTTCAGAGAATTAGTTATATAGTTAGGGTAGAAGATCAAGGTCACAATATAATCGTAATATGCTTTTATTTTACTGATTCAGTTTTTCACTCAAGGTCCTTTGGATTTTCTCCTATTATAGCAGATGCAAAAAGAATTGTGGAAAATAATGAGAAATCCTGATGCAATTGAACCAGTGAACAAATGCCAAGGTCTTTCAACTCTACACAGGAGGATACTTTTCCTTCTAAGAAACTAAATCTACATGATTAGTTTTGTTAAAAAAGGAGTCTATCTTCAGCCTGTCATCTGAGATGCCCATTTTTTGGATAAGAACTCTTTCACTCCTTCAAAATACCATTTCTATCAAGAATGGTCAATTGTATTTGGTCAGTGCGAAAACTGTAACTTCCGGTATACCACATTTAACAATGATTTTTGGTATTAAGAACACTCTTAAAGTGCACATGTAAATTTTTGAACACACACAAACAACTGAAAACTAATGAATGATTAAAACAATTTGAGAGGTATCTGGAAAGAAAATTGAAACTTATTTTAAAACTTCTAGACTTAAAGATTGAAGTCCTCCATGGACATTTCATGTATGTTTCTTAATGTTTACCTTAATGACCAGCTCCAGGTGATAGTTGTACTCTGTTGTGGACAGCCTCAGAAATCACCGTGTATATTTCACACACAAGTAAAGATGGTCAGATACTTCTCAGAAGAGTCTAATTCATTTTGAAAATGATCTTTTGGCCCCTGGGAAGCTAAAATCTCACTTTAACTTCTA